AGATATATAAAGTGCTAAGAACAAGCTTTATTCTATTAGTTATGCATATATTAAAAAAACTTAACATAGCTCTAGTATATTAGCTAATTGATAAAAAAAAATCAAAATGATTACATAGTGACAACTAAACTTATTAAAAAAATAATACTAAAGAAAAATCAGCTAAATGATTTCAAAAACTAGAACCAAAAATATTAAAAAATCTAAAACACAAAGTAGTAAAACCAAACTTTAGAACCATAGTATCAAATAAATAAAAAATAGAAGCCTTATTAGAAAAACCAACAAATAATATAAGATGAAAAAAATAGATGCTTGTTAAAAATTTATTAGTTCAGATAAAAGAACAAATATTAGAAAGAATAGTTGCTAAAAACTAAAAAACAATACAGATAGAATATTGAAAAGCAAAAAGACAACCAGAAAACCAAAAAACATTATTAGAAAAATGCAAAGGTTGTACACTTAACTAGGTAAACATTGTTGATATTTGTATAAGAAAAATTAAGAAACAGAATATTAGTGTTTTACATTAGAAAAAAAGAGCAATGCCAATTAAGATAAGTTTGAATATATTAGATTCCAATATTCAATAAAGAAAAATTGAAATCTTAAGTTCAGAAAGACAAGTAAAAGAAATCAGAATAGAAAGTAAGAAGATAGAACTAATAAAGCAATAAAAAATTAGTAACAAGCTTATCAAAATGCTAATTGTGAAAAATATACATAATCAAGAAATCAAGTAAGAAAACTTAATTTTTATATAGATGAATTATTAATAAAAAAAAATAAGAATAAACAAGAGATAGTTAATATAAGAGCTAGTTGGCTACAAATAGATAGTAAAAAAGAATATATTATTAATGAAAGATTTATTAGAGCCAGAGAATGGCCTTCTTTAACCAATCTGAGTTGCTAACTAAATAGTATATAATACTTATAATGACAAGTAAAAAGAAAGTTAAAATATATATAGACAGTATAGCAGTTATAGCAAGTTTAAAAAGCAGTACTCAATATATAATAAATAGACAAAAAATAAAAATAAAAATTTTTAACTTACTAGATAGTATTAAAGAAATAATAAGAGCAAAAGAAATAGATTTAGAATTAATTAAAAGTTATAGCAACAATCACAGATTGAATAAATAAATAAAAAATAAATAATAATTAAATAACAAAAAAGAATTTGCTGTTATTCTACCTTATATCTGCTAAATAATAACAACATAACAGCAACATAACAACAAAATAACAGTAAAATAACAAAAGATTTGATAATATAAATAATATAATAGTAACATAATAACAAAATAACAAAACAGTTCTATTATTTTACTTTTAGTTACAAAGACTAAAAATAAAATAATAGAACTGTTCTATTATTTTATTATTATATTATTATTATATTATTTATATTAATAAATTACCTGTTATTTTACTATTATTCTGCTATTATGCTGCTGTTATACTGTCATTATTTGGCAAAAATAGGGTAAAATAATAACAGATTTTTTTTTAGTTATTTATCTAATATTCACTTTTTATTTATTTATTCAACCTGTAAATAGATAGAATAATAGAGCAAATAGTTTAGTTAAACAGAAAATGAAATTAAAAGATTTAAAAAACATTATAAATAATCCTATCTTAAGATTAAATATATCACTTTGTTAAGAAATAAAATCATAAAAAGTTCAACAAAAAAATTCATTAAAAAGGTGCTTAATATCAAGAACAATGCAGATTGGAGTTACTTATTAGCAATTAGAAAATTAGAGTTAGAATCTTATACTAATAAATATTACTAGACTCTGCTATAGAAAAGGATCAAAAATCAGAATAAAATAAGATATATCTCAATTTGAAAAAACAAAAGACTAAATACACTTGTTAAATATATTTAAGAAAAGATAACTATACTTAAAGAACTAACTATATATTGATCAGATCAATATACTAGTCTAAATTATATATCATATAGAGAAAAAAAGAAAGAAAACCTAGACTATTTAGTAGAGTGTTCAGCCTATAAAATTTTATATACAAAAGCAAAAGCAGTGATAATAAAAGTAGAGTAGGATCTACTACTGAAAAATATAAAAAGTTACTACTAAGTCTATCTTAAAAGAGAAAATTTAAGATCAAACAAATGAAAAGAAGATAGAAATAAAGAAAAAACTCATTAAAGGTCTTATTCAAGAAAAGATATTTAAAGAAGTACAAGACTTCTTAGTTTCAGTATAAGAAACTAAAAACTTTATAACAAGTGACACAAGTACTATATAGAATGAATTCTATAAAACAATTTGAAGAGAAAGATGTCATAAAGTAGATGAATGAAAAGAAAGCCAAGGTATTAACATAAGTGAGAAAAAGAAAGGAAAAGAAAAAAAATAAAGAAACAGCAAAATATTATGGTATACAAAAGGATACAAAAATCAAGAGATGAGGAAGTAATAAGAATAAAGGAAAAAAAGAGTTAAAAAAAATAAAATAGAAAATGTATGGAAAAAAAACAATCAAAAAATTAATTAATAATAATAATAGACCTTAATGGGATGGTCTCAAAGACTAACCTGAATAGTTCTCTAGTAGTGAGTACAACCTGCACTAGTGTGGCAGGTCACCTCTAAACACTTTTTACAGTAGTTGGAAGATGTCAAACTTATAAATTAAGCTAATATTTGTATAGTTAGTTATGCAATTCTCTTAATAAAGGATATTGACAAGGCTACCAAAGTTTTTAATATATATATATATATATGCATATATATATTCGTTCTTAAATAACGGTAATTAATAATCTATTATTATTATTATTATGGTTTTTGTGGCGACGCCAAACGGAGATGTAATTACTCCGCCCAATCAAAGACAATATTTACAGCGCCCAATTAGAAGTGGTGGGGAAATTAGGACGCTCGAGAAATTGCCGGTATTAAACATTAAAAATATAATAAAATTGAATTGTATGATTTGCTGAGTTGATTGTCTTTTGAGTTATAAATTGCTTATGAAACTGTCATGAAACCGTTTATGAAAACATGATTAAACTAAACATTTTATTTGTATTCGAGTGGTTAATTGTATACTTGCTTATTAATATTTTGATATAGTGACGCTGCACAATATATTTTTATTATTCAGAGTCACTTAATTTTAATGATCACGATACTTTCAACAAATTTTGCCCATACGAAAAGGGTGTGGAAATATCAATTCCTCCCAAATATTTTTATTTTCGCATTACCCGAATCTAACTAAACCTGCTGGTAAAATAAAAAGTTCTACCATCAAATCTCAAATCATTCTCGAAAATTAATTGTCGCGTTGTAATTATGGCTACAAACAATCTATATGACAATTAATTTTTAAAAGATTAAAGGTTGATAAATTTTCTAATTAATATATATTATATTATATTATGAAACATAGTAATCACAACGTAAGTCGTTTTTAATTTGAGAATGACATACGTCAATAAGATATGCAAAGTTTTACCATGACACTTACAAACACTACATTTAAAGAATCTTAAAAGGATTTCTTTAATATATGATGGACCTTGTTTGAATTACGATGAATCTTTAGTTACTTTTATGTTACATCTAATTGTTAAGTTTATTATTAAGTTTGGTTGGTTAGCAAAATTGAAACTAGCTTTCTTGTAAAATAATTCGTAGCATTACTGAAGATGCAGACGAATCTCAATGCATTTTACGACATACGATAAATATCGCATGTTCCTATTGCTTCATAATTATGTCATAACTAGCTGTAACTAATGAATTGATGTCCTAGATGATTAACTCCATGGCTTAACCTTCTAAAAATGAACTCAAAATTTCAAAACAGTGACATGGGTTTTTAAGAAAACATAATAATTTCTATAACAACCCTTTTTTTTCTTCTAGAATCTTTAGTTCGTTATAACCTTAAGTTCATTATAGAAAGAGTTGACTTTATATAAATTTCTTTCGCTAAGAATTTCTAACAATTTATTTCACAAATTCAATTCTGGGTTTAAAAAAGATTTGTCTCAAGATAACTTATATATGTTTAAAATTTACTGATCATATGTTGGCCAATCAAAAATTTTTTTAATATTACTGTATCGTCGAGAAATAGAAGCATTTATTCGAAACACATAAAGAAAGCTAAGTTTTAAATTTTTAATTTAGTTCACTTTAAACTGTATCTCAAAGTAAATTAAGGAAGTTGATGAAATTAAAGTAACGAAATTAAACTAGAGAATAAAATTGGTGAAATTAATTTCACCAGAGTACGTTTGAAGTTCGGTTTATTGATCTGTGATTTCTATTGAAAAAGTAATGGTACATATTATTTGCAATAAAATTTTCGATTCATATTATAAAAAATTTTGTAATTAACGTTAATGTCGCCTAAAAATTTTAGAGATTACTTTTAAAAAGAATAAATTCTGTGTAATCGTTGGATGGCAAAAGATTGCACTTTACTAAGAACAAAATTAATAGTGTTATAAGTTGATTAGAGGTTAGTTGGCTTAGTCAACTTATCTGGCTAAGTTGAACAATTTTTTGAAAACACAGCTTAGTCGACTCCTAATAAAAATAGAATCGACCGTCTATTTCCCAATTTATTTATCACTTATATTTACTTTATAAATCAACTATGCACGTTGTTAAATTTCGGTCCCAAGAGCGTGCACTTACAGAGGTTTAACTGTATAAATAATCACAGCAAACTTTTGACCGTAAACTTTTGCTTAAAATATTCAATTTATTTAAAAAAAAAGTTATAATAATTTTATGTTTTACTGATAAAAAGTGAATGCAAAATTGTCTATTTCTAGAATTGGTATATTTATCCATGAAGATTGTTAAGAAAATATAATAGCGGCTATAAGGCATATAGGAGTATAACAATGTAAAAAAATATTTATGACTACAGGTATAACTATTCTTGTTTGACTAAATGTTTCGTATTCTACCAAAATGACAAGACTACAATGAAATTTATTTATAATGAATACCAAAGTTAACAAGTTTATCCAACACCTCTCTTAAAAGCTTTTCGCGACCTAACAATCTTTCTCTTTGATACTTTATACCATCATCTTCTTTAATTAATTCATCAATTGATCCATCTTTATCATGAATAAAAATTTCCATTAGTTTTTCTTCAATGTGATCACTAAATTCATCAATAAAAGTGTGAATTATTGTCATAGAGACAACATCAACATAACGTTTGATCGCAATTTTTAAGTATGCTAAAACTATTGCCACGACTTCTAAAGTTTCTGTAGGATTTTTACTTTCAAATTTCACTGCTTCATGAAGAGATTTTAGGTATTCCGTTTTTAAATTTGTCATCATTTGCTTATCGAGTGTGAATGGGTAAGTGGTTTGCTCCATTTTGTAGGTGAAACTAATATGATCTGTTGTCCGTTTTTTACATTCCTCCAACCAAGCTTGTGCCTTATATCTTAAAGTAGATTTTAGAAATGTTAGCTTAAAAAGAAATTATGATTTCTCAAAATTAAATAATTATTCTTACCCCATGCGTCCAACTAAGCCAGGAAATCTTGAAAAGGTACTTTCTATAGTTTCATTTACCACTTTTATCATAATCTCATAAACAGCGTTTAAACAATTTATGGCAGGTTTTTGCCATTGTTTTTGATGTCCTTGGATAATGGTCTGCGCGGCCGAATAAGGGACGAACCCGGGGAGTAATCTTCCACGCGAATTTTTAATTATTTCGGTGACTTGGGTTTCCGTTAGTTGTTGCAATTGATCCGTACTTATATCTCTTTTATTTGTGGGACAATCTTCAATGAAATCTTCAAGTATATCAATTATACCTGAAGGCTTTTTTCCGATATAATTATTACTAGAGTTAATTGAAAAAATTGGACGTAAAGCATAAAATTCTACTTTGAATAATGCAAATTGATCATTGAGTGATTTCCACAATTCAATTTGATTATTTGAGCAAATAGTTTTTTCTTTGATAATCGTGGTACAATTTTTTATCAGGCGAAATAAGTCAATTCTTGGATTATCAGAAAGTTGCAATGGAAGTTTTTCTAAATCCTTGCATGCCTAAGACATAGAAAATAAAATAAGATAATCGGTTTATAAATAAGCTTAGTGTAATGATAAAAATACCTCATCTAATTTTTCTTCTACTTCCTTTCTGATATCTGGAAGACCTCTTTTAATAGCTTTAATTAATAATTCAGATAATTTATTTTGCAAATTTTTAACACCGATCCTTTCTTGTAAATGAAAACTAGTCCATGGATCTTCTGTTTCAAAAAACTATTATAAATGAAATATTAGCTAATGCAATTATGATTTTATTATAAGGTAATAATGTTTATTTAAATATTAATATAAATTGAAAGTGAACCTCGATTTCAGCTAATCTAGCATCTTCGAATCGAATATTATCCATACGTTGCACTTTAGTTGGATTCTTTACGACATAATACCCAAGTTCCAGAGGATTTGCTTCACCTCTCATAATTTTTAACCAAGAATGATGTGTTCCTTCTTCAATCATATCAGGTTTTGTAAGAACGCCTAGAGTTCGAACTCCTAAAGGATCAGCTTCTTTTGCAAGAGTTACTATTGCTTGGTTGTCTATTTCGTCTTTACATGAAATTGTTGCGATTATAATAGATTTTTCATTTTTAATATATTCTTTTACGAGTTCTTCAGTCAATGGGATAAACCTCCTATCTTCGGCTTTTTCGGTATGTCCTAAATAGTATTAAAAGAATATTATTATTTATACAAAGTATATAACGACAACGATGGTGCGAGGATACAGTCACGTGAGGCACTTTTCGAATATTTTTATAGATGCTTGACTCGAGTTAATTCAAGTTAAGACTAGGTTTTTTATGTTACGAGTTGACTCGAGTCTAGTCTCTACATTTTTATGCAAGAGGTTTTTGAAAATCGACCAGTAACATATATACTATAGAATTACAGAATAGATTTTCAAAAGCTGAAAATTAATGTTAAGGTCTAGGTTTTTAAATGAATTCTAAACCCTTATAACAATTGTAAAATCTGACCGATGACGTTGTAAAGCATATTATGAAAAATAATCACCAGTCGCATTTATAATAATACCATCGTAAAAAGTTCATATTTGGTCACATGACAGTCGAGTTAAACTTACGAATTATTCCCGGTAAATCAATTAAGCTTAAGTTTGGAACATTAGGGCCCTTAATTTCCATGCATACAACATTTTTAGTAAACTTAAGACCGTTTAATTGAGAATCATCTTCATAAGTTTGGTCTTTAAAATCCCAATCAATATATTCATCGCTTTGTTTCAAAGGATTTAATAATGCCTTTTGAGCACGACGTGCCATTAATTCAACTTTATCTGGATCATCAATCGAGCTACCAAATTTAGTTTCAATTGGATTAGAAAGACGGTTTTCATGTTCATCATATTCTTTGCGAAGAGAAACTTGACATGACCATATTTTCGGAACTTCGGATAATCTCAGTTCCATCACACAGCGAGTGCAAGTTCCATCAGACCTAGGTAACTAAAAATTTAAAAATAAATCGCGATCAGTTTATGTATCTTATTTTTGAGATGTATTACGTGAATAATAAGAGACTTATATACCTTAACGCCTGAAATCGCTTCAAGTAAACTGCTTTTACCCGCAGATTGGTTTCCACAAAAAACGATTGTAGGAAGATTTACGGCTAATTGGGCACCAATACGACGCAATTCATTTAAAATCTTGATATAGTTCGACGCCTCTTTCGCATATTGAGAGTTAGCAATATAATTTATCTGAGTCATGGTTTCTTTAAGGTATGAAGAATATTGCTAAGTTCATGTTATTTATAGTTTAAAATCAATGGACATTAACTATATTGTACCCTGAGGCAAAACTGCCGATCTAGCTAAAGATGGTGAAACAAAACTAGAGTGATGAAACAATGTTGTCTTGAATGGTATTAAATTGATGAAATGTCTTGTAATTAATTTCACTAGCATTTCAAGACTATCGTATTCTTGACCTGTTATTATTGTATCATTTATTCTAGTTCTTTGTTTTTTGTTTTCTTTATTTCTACCCCTTCGGGTATTAATGGAGATATGTTTTGTTTCTTTACGCATCGTGTATTATATACGTTACACGAGTGGATTATGATCAGTGATCAGACTTTGTGATTTGATTCCCTTGTAATCTGATTACTGAATTACAAGTTGCCATTGTACAATGATAATTAAGCGATAATCCGTTTACGGAATGAATGACTATCCGAATATCATTAAGTATTAGGAATCAGATTTTATGCTATATAGTTATCGAATGCAAAGCAGTGACCACCTATAAGAATGGCAAAAATCATGATTTAAATCAAATTTTGTGATTAACAAATGATTTATAACATTTTGATCTTTATTACTTAATTCGATTATTTATATTCAAATGCTGACTTTGAATGCGATTTTTAAATCCATAGAATCTCCGATGCTCATATAACTAGGGATGGGCAATGTAATTTTTTATGTAATCGATATGTATTTTTTAGGCCTTACATATTTTATGAATTATTACA